GAAAACACCACTCTGTGATCGATCAGAAAAAAATTATGTGTATGTTTGTTTAAAAAATGTTTTTTCTGATCAAAAATTTCGAATCGCTAGCATAGAAAAACCGAATAGCGGCCAATGGCCGGTGATAGTCACTACCGCATATGGAAAATTTGATGCAGTTCAACAGAGCTTCGCTTCTTTAAACTTCTTCAAAATTGTCATATCGAAAAATATGCTGTCTTATTTCTTTTAGTAATTAAACTATTAAACCAAAATATTTACGTTTCTCCGCGTTAAGTTTCCAGTAACACGCATTGGATGATAAATGAGATTTGTTACCAAGTCCAAAATGAAGGTATCTGGTGTATAACTTAAAGTGGAGTGAATTATCTGTGAATCTTATGAATTCTATGAATATATTGTATTAACGTTTGTCCATATTAAATTAAAGTTTAAGAAGAACTTTTGAGACCAATATTCATATTCCCCTACCCTCTGCCCTATTTCAAAAATTAAATACCAAGCTCTGAGTTAATGATATTTCCACTATGAATACAGATCATATTAAAGAACTACCAGAAAGACTTTTTTGTTTAAAAAATCTGAATTGACGCATAATTTGGGCACGCGTAACGAAATGTTTTACTTTTTGTCATGGCATAATTGAGAATCTCCCTTCAGATATGCATATGGCATATATATAAATATTTCCACCACATTTCAAGACACATATGTACATGTCCTCTAAAATACATACATGTAATAAATAAGTAACTTGAACTGCAAATAAATCCTACCTGTGACATCCGCTTGCCACTTTCCAATTCCAAATAATCTTCTTCGACGCTGTCATCGTCTGCACCACTGCTTTCTATACCAGCGTCATGATTTACTCCTCCACCTGCACCTGCACCCTGTTCATCGGCACGCGCAAGACGGTTTGCTACGCCCACGAGCCGCCGGCGCCGCTCCACTTCATCGACCAAACCAACAGGGTCATCTTCATCACTCACTTCAAAGGAAGACTTGCGGCGCGTTTCTCCCACACTCAAGTTCTCGTCACGCATCATTTCACCAACATGATTGGCTATTAGGCGTTTAC